TGTAGTAAATATTTTAATATTCAACTTATTCAACTTATCTGAAGCACAAAAATAAAATAGTGATACTGTATCGATATTTATTATCACAATTATTTAGCGAGATATGCTCATTATTACGTAATCGCTCATTACCGAAATCAGAAACTTATCGAATCGGCAAACAATCATTCGGTCAATTTTTTATAGATGTCCCAAAATTTATGAGAGCAGCTGTAACATCCCTACTTGTATTCGAATATATATATACATATATATATACTATATTTACGAATATATAAAGATATGAATACGTATTCAAATATAGATTATGAATGAATACGTATTATGAATATTCAAATATTCATAAATATTCATAATATATATTTATGAATATTATGAATATTTATGAATATTTGAGTGTCGCTAAAAGAAACCCGAAATTTTAAATATGATTTCTATTTAAATTTTCGGGTATTTTTTTAGCGACACTCATTTATGAATATTATGAATATTATGAATATTCATAATATGATATTTATGAACGAATATATTAATAAACTAATTACCGTATTCCTCCGAAAATAAGCACCTCTTTTTTTGCTAGAAGGTTGCTTATTTTCGGATATAATCTCAACTAATAATTTGAATGACTTGATATTTAATTGTATATAAGAGGTGCTTATTTTCGGGTATATATGAATCGTGGGGGTGCTTACTTTCGGAGGGTGCTTATTTCGGAGGAATAAGATATGAATTTAAGGATGAATATAATAAGCACTACTTTCAAGAGATGCGGCTATTTTAGTTTTTCCAGATAGAGATTTTTAGAAAAGGGATCACTGCCGCGCATTTTTTTTAAGTGCAAAAACTTTTATTGTATATTGGGAGGTTTCAGAATCAGCTTACAGTATTTCGAAAATAAGTGGTAGTTTAAAAAAATCATATTTCTTTTTAAATTCCAAAAATTAAATAAATATACTCGGTGATAAAATTAGTTTTTTCGACAAATATTTACCAAAGAAGATTATGTAAATAAGTATATACTTTAAAAAAATAGATCACTGTTTTGACAAATAGAAAATCTGGGACAAGTTACGTTAATTCGACCTCCAAATTAATCATATAATTTATTAATAATAATAAAAAAAAAAGAAAATTTCAAATTACGTGATAGAAAACTACGTTAGAAATTTTATTTGTAATTATAGAAAAGCTCACAATATACTAATAGGAAAAAATTACTTCACTATCATATACAAATGTTTTATTAATTTTGTAATAGGACACAAATTTCAATCAAGAAACTTCTGTATAATTAATAAAAAGAAAATTGGCCAAGGTAAAAAAAAAAAAAAAAAGCTATGAACGAACTCGAAAATAATTACACGTACATAAAAAAAAAGACCGTTAAAAAAAAAAAATTGCATAAAGTAAAATGTTAAGAAAAAAATAATTTTATTTCTTTTGTTATATTTCTGTATTTTAGCTATTTTTTTATTTGTACAATATAAAATTTAAATCGAAACTTTTTTTATTAAACGATAAATATTATTATTATATTGTTAATATTTGAAATCCAGATACTATGGGTTTGAAATTCGCAATTTAACGTAACCTGTATCATTTTCTACTTGCTTCGTTTTGAGATAAATATCCCTTTTGACATCAATTTCGTACAAAAGGACATTTAATTTCGTACAAAATGACATTCAATTTCATGCAAAGTGACATTTAATTTCGTACAAAGTAACTTTTAAATTCGAATATTCAAATCTATACAAAATGACAATTAAAATAAGTTTTATTAAATCATGATATCTCGTGACATAGGAGTCCAAATTGGATAAATTTGGTATCATTCGAATCGTCTTACCGAGAGAATTCGAATGGTACTAGAATAATCTAAATTGGGCCAATAGATTTCGAGATATCATGGTTTGATCAAACTTATTTTAATTACGAAATTGAATATCACTTTTTACGAAATTGAATTAAATGTCCTTTTTAGTGGTATGAGGTAATTAGTCGTAATTTTTTACAAAAAACTCAATTATATCGTGTTCTAGTGATCCGAATTGGATGGTTTTGGTGCCAATCGAACCGTCTCGATGAGACGAATCGAATGTACCAAAATAATCCAATTCGGATCACTGGATCACAAGGTATTCACAAATAATGATTCAATGAATTACGGCAAACGTGCCGTAATTCTGCCGTAATTCGTTAAATAGTTTTTCGAGAACATATTGTGATCCAGTGATTCGAATTGAATGATTTTGGTACCATTCGATTCGTCACATCGTGACGAATCGAATGATATCAAATTCACCCAATTTGGATTATTGAATCACGGTATAATTGAGTTTTTGTAAATTACAACCGATTACGGCATTGCGTTCACACCATTAGTCCTTTTGTACGAAATTGATGTCAAAAGGGATGCGTCACCTATTTTATCTGAAATCGGAGTCGAATCATTAATTCTGAAACCTATATTAATAAAAACTAAATTTTAAAATTCGTCCAGTCAAACTTATATAGAAAAATTTGTATTATAAAACCATTAAATAAAAAAGTATATGAGTTTGCTAACGTTTAATCCCATTAACCAAAACACAAGGACCACCACTAATTATTTGCAATCCAACTTTATTTGCATATTCTTGACATTCAACGTTTTCAGCCCCTGGTTGAAGCCATATACGACTAATTCCCAACTAAAATTGGTTTAGTACTTTTGATTAATTATTAATTTTACGTTATGAAAAATGAAATAAATAATTAATAAATACTTCTGTCGCCTCTTTCAAAATATCTTTTGACACATTTGGCTGAGTTATTATCGAAATAGATGTACTATTAGGATCAATATTTGGTAACGAAGATAAATTCGGAACACAGCTTAATCCCTCGATCTCCGCTTCCTTCTGTAAAAGAGTAATAGTTTAATAATAATAAAATAAGTAGACAAGTCAAAAAAAATAGCAGCTGTATATATAATTAACAACTTTACCGGATTTACAGGTGTTACTGAATAATTATTATTAATATACCTAATATATGAATATAGTCGAAATACAGTACTTTGTGAAAAAGTTGTAATGTTAGTATATTAAAATACAAACCATTTCAACACCTTATTGCCGTATTTTGAGGGATCTGTTGAAGCACCTACGACGGCATAATTAGAAGAAGAAAAAAATTCTTTTATAAGACCAGCGGTTTTTGCGCGCGTGTTCATTTCTAACGTCTAAACACTAATGATCTGATACCAAATATCGTTATCAATATGTTAATCGATGCAATGATTGGCCGATATAACGATCACAAAACTTGTAATGGTAGGAATTTCAGATTTCCTTTCCCTTGAAAAAATAATAATGGCGGTAAACCGTTTTTTTTTTCTTTTTGGAAATGATTATATAAATTTATCGACTTTTATTTTTAATTTTTAATTTGAATATTGGTTTATTATACAGTTTCAACCGGTAAATCCGAAGCCATTTCTTCAAGAATTGACCGGGAAGCCTGTAATCGTCCGCCTAAAATGGGGTATGGAATATAAAGGTTATTTGGTTTCTGTGGACTCATACATGAATTTACAGGTATCTTAGTTAATACTTTGAATTTTAATTAATATAACACACGTTTACTTATTGTATATTTAGAAAATATATCTGTTACATTATTTACTATAATATATAATTTCATCATAGCTTGCCAATACGGAAGAATTTGTAGACGGCAATTCAACGGGAGCCCTTGGAGAAGTATTAATTAGGTTTATAATAATTTATCGTCTTGATTCTTTGGCTTTTTTCGTTGACAATTTGGTCTTTACATTCTCCAATTATCTAAATATCTATCTGTTTCGCAGGTGTAACAATGTCCTGTACATTCGAGGAATAGAAGAAGATACAGAAATGGGAGGTACATAAGTAAGTTTGTGACTCAAGCATCTATTTTGAATTATGACATTACTACATAGTTTAGGTTTGAGATCAGGATTTCAAAACTCATAATATACGTAGCATTTTTATTCAATGATGTTAATCTCAAAATTTGTTAAATCAATGCTATAAACTAAAGCTTCAATATTTTTGTTTTAAACTAAGAAAATTAGGTAATTAACGACTAAACAGAATATGTTGAGTAAAAGCGATATTAGATCTTAAATAGATATGTCGAATATTACGCAATAAGTGAATAATTATTATAAAAGTGTAAGTTTCCTTCGAAATTCGAATAGAAATGCCTCTCAACAGTTTTTAGAAGAGTAAAAACCCTTATAAAAATCAGTACCTTATCAATTACACGGTCCTCTATCCTTCATTATTGATTAGCCCGTAATTGTTAATTGATAAATAATACCCGTTGTCAAACAATATGTATTTAGATAGGGTCAATAAAATTGTTCAAAATAAAAAGAATTCGTTTTAATAGAATTTTACACTATTACTAGATAAAGCTATACAAAGTTTACTTCGTAAAAAAAATTTGCATACAAAAGTTTTCTGATTTAGCCGGGTTAAGAAAACCAAGAATTATTTTGTATGGTCTTACATTAAAGCATTGGATATACTCTCTTAAACAGAGGTTAAACTGACATTTAAATTTCTATTCAAATTTTTTTATTTAAAAAAAAAAGATTTAACCTTGTTTAAATAAAGCTAATTATAAAACAGAGCTCAATTTTATATATTTAATAATTCTTTGAACGAATTACAAAATGACAGTTAAAACTTTTAAAAGGATCGAGAAGTGTCAACCGCATATTACTTCGTATAACGGTAATTCACAGATCCGCTTTTAACCCTAAAAAATATTGGGAGTTATTTTGATGACCTCTATAATAACCAGAAAGATTCGCTTCTACAATTTTAATTAAAAATACGAGTAGTTATTATTCTGAAATTTTTTTAATCAATCATATTTAGGATTTTTAAGAATATAGTCAAGATCTAAAAACTATTTATTTAAATATAAAAGAATATATCTCTAAAATTTGAGATATAACTTTTGAAATAATGAAATGTTTTAAAAAAAGTTTAATGCGATTTTTTATTTTTATAAAAAATAAAACTATGCAGTATATTAATAAAACTTTTACTATTGTAATTTATTTTGTAAAATTTTTATATAATTTTTAGCGAATTAAATACAGTACAAGATAATTTAAATTAGCAAATAAAATAAAAAATATAGCTAAAAGAAAATGTTTTTATAAGAACACAGTATACAAAAAAAACAAGCAGGACAAAGCTATAAAGTTTGTTTTTTAATATAACAAAAATTTATTTTTTTTTCAAATTTATTATTAATAAAATAAAAATTTGGCCATATATATGTATAAAAAATAATAACTTTTAAGATATTAGCCAATCAAAATTCAGTATTTTATTTCAAATTTGGTTACTTTTTACAAAAATTATTAATTTAAATATTTTGTACTGTATTTGACAATAAAAAAAATACAATTCTTATAAACACACCTATAGTGTTATGTATATGTATTTTTATTATGGTTTTGGATTCTTTAAGTTTTGTATATGTCATATGTCGGAATGGAATCATTGTGGATTTAGAATCCATCTAGGTTGATTCCAAATAAACATAGGTTGTAACAGAATTCCAAGGTGTGCCCGGGTTGCTAAAGAATTCGAATTCAACTTTTAATGAAATTAAGTTGATTCTAAATTATTTTTATCGAGTATGTTGTTTTGGAATTCAAGTCGCTTTAGAATAATATTTATTTATAACAATAATGCATCAGCAAATTAATTCAATTTATTAAAAGCATTACATATCGATATTGTTTTTACAATTATGATTACTAGGATGACAACTACTACTGCACGGTACTTTTATTTTTTTACATTTACAATGATTTTTGTCACATGAATTTTTGCAATTGCATTTAATATTGCCTATTTGTGAAGAAGATTGCATAATCGATGCCTCTCGGACGCTTATGAGTGTTGAGGGGATATTATCCAATTTGGGAAACTTGTCAGGACCCAAAGGAAGAAGTTCATTAACATTATATGTAACTTTAATAATGCCCGATTTACATCCAAGTTTATATGTGTCATCTTTTGTTACTTCAAGAATTTTGCATGGGAGTGTTTTTCGATCAGTATGTGTTCTATCAATATCAGGAATCTTAAGATGCACTAAATCGCCAATATTGTATTTGTTGTTAAATTTTTTATTGCATTTGTTGAGTTGTGATTTTATGTCATTGTGATATCATTCAAGAGACTTCGTAGTGATGCTCCAATAAATTTTATGAGCTGATGTTTTTTGTATGTTGTTCTTATTCCAGAGTGTATGCTTAGATTTAGATTTAGAGCCATGCTTATCTAAAAAAGACTGTAAAATAAAAATAAATTTAACTTATATATATGAAATTAAATAACATGCAATTATCTGAGTATTGGTGCCAGTGGTTGTAGTTGTCAAAACAGAAGGCTTATATCTTTTATTTAAACGAATGTCAGAAACATTTTTAGATAACCTTCTACCAGTAGCTCCATCTTCGGGTAAACTTCTACAGACAACTTCATCTTTGGGTAAGCTTCTACTAAAGACTCATCTTCTGATAATTCATTTAAACTGTTTTCTTCATCAAATATCTATTTTATAGAATCTTATTAATTATTAAAAAAAAAAAATTTTTTTTTAAAGCAATAATATTAAATATAGTATTTACATTTATCACAGCATTTTTTTTTCAGTTACCTTTATACTTAACTTTTCATCTGATCATTCGTTTATCCTTTCACTTAACTGATCTTTCATTCACCATGTTATCCAATACTTCATCGTCCACTATTTCATTCAATCTTTTGTTTATTATATTATCTAATGATGCTTCATTATCAGCTATTTCGCCCAATTTTTCATTTTTAAATTTACGTTCAAGCAATTGCTGCTCCTAAAAGGATTAAATAAATATTAATTGCATTAAAAAAAAAATAATAATAAAAATAAGAAAATTTACCTTTATGTTTAATGCTGCGGCTCCTAAAAGCAATTCTACAACTTCCTGCTAATCAAAATCATCTTGAGGCTCAGATAGTTCAAACCAATTCTCAGGTAACTCATCTTCTGAATTAATATGTCGATCTTTGATTTCTTTTAATATTAAAAAATAGTATAAAGGGTTTTGTCTAAATACTAATACATATGAACTATTTTTAGTTTGTCTTGATGTTTAAATATTCATCGCATCTATAAAAATATTAATTAATTAGATTAAAATATAAATAATATGAATTAATAAAAAAAAACTTACAGCAGCATAAAGGTACTGCTCGAGACCAGTCCTTTCTTCTGGTGTCTTTCATCTACTTGGATACCTTTTGCTGAAGAATATTATTCGCAAGTTCCACAAGCCTCTGGCTTTGCAGATGCCTCAGACAGCTATTAATAATATGGATATCAGACCAAATAGTTAATAATTTCCAGATTATTTCTGCTGTGAACTTATAACCATTATTGCTCTGGAGAATAATTGAAACACCAAAGCAGACAAAAATGTCGAAAAGGAAGATAGCAACCTCAATTGGTTGCTTGCTTGTTAATGCTCATGCTCAAGAATACTGAGTAAAATGATCGCACATGTAACAGATATAATGATAATCACCATCAGAGATACTGACATAATACTACAGGAAGAAATAAACAGGCCTATTGAGAAAAGCACTGGAAATTATTGGCTTTGCAATCACTGAGTTAGGAAAATTCCTTCACGTTACACATGTTATATAATTTTTTACAAATTCTTTAATGAAGGATTGTGAAATATAATAATATTGTTTAGAAACCTGTATTTAAAAAAAGATAAATAAATAAATAAGTAATTAATATAAAGTAATATTCTATTTTATATACTTATTAATTAATCTGTAAACTATATACCACATCCCAAAGTTTTGTTGAACCAATATGTTTCAAGGCCTCTTAATGTAAACTGCACAGTATTTCGTATATCTTGTTAACAGGGCACACAGATAGGTTTGAATCAATTTTTATAAGTTGCAATATAGGGTTAGTTGATGTTTCAAGATCATATAAAGCAAAAGTTTTTTTGGCCCAGTAATGTTCTTTTGCATTTCCAATTTTGGTATTTGCAGGTTCTTGTAAAACTCTAATACAAAAGTCGAAATCCTCACGTGTAATAAAAGTTTTACATCGTCTATTAACTGATTTGCTGTCAAGAAATTTATCAAGCAATTCTTCAAATGCATTGCAAGATAAAAATGGATAATCATGAGATTTGGCTATAAAAGAGTAAGAATTTTTAAAGAGTAAGAATTTTAAAACAAAAAAAAATTCAAATATATATAGAAAATTTGCATAATTTTTTTCTTTATTATACATAATGTTAGCTATCATAAACTATCATAAACTATTATATATAATGTTACTACTAATCAATTATATATTTATTACATATATCGATAAGTTTAGAATCAACTTAGATGGGATCTAAATTTCATATCAACTTAGGCTACATTTGGAATTCTATTACAACCTAGATAGATTCTAAATCCACAATAATTCCATTCCAACTAGGGTTTGGGGCACACTTTAAAAATTAGGCATGCCCTAGGTTAAAGGCATGCCCATGTGATAATAGACTAATTATAAATATAAAAACAATAATTAAGTAGAGAAAAAAATTAAAACACTTATACACAAGTATGCCTTGAGCTGAAACATGCTTCTTATACTTACAGAAATATTCTTTTTTTAAATTATGTAATTAACATATTGTTTAGTATATATCTATGTTTTTGGCCTTATCTAAACCAGGGCTTAAACTACTATAGTAATTTGCTGGCCTGCAGCCTATTGTTTGAAGTGTTTTTCTTGATCCATTAAAATTAGTGTATTAATTAACATCATTGCCACAGTGATTTGTATGCTACGGCAATGACATCGATTATCAACCCAAATTTCTCTGGTGTTGTCTATCTAATCAAGTGAACAATAGCAATAAATGACAAATAAAAATCTTAAATTTTGCTACTATTCTTTAATTATTAAAATACACAGTTAAGACTATTAAGCGAAAGTATGTATAAAAATTGGCAAACCAAATATCATTAAAATTATGAAAGTAATGTCTTAATGTGTTAATAGAAATTTCCAGCAAAGTTAGAAAACTGAATTTCCATAGCTTGAATATGACACTCATAATAATAGAATTTTTTGTGTTTTATGCTATAATTATAATAAAAAGAATGCATTTATAACAAATAGTAAATATAAATGATTTAAGTATATATTTGCCATAGAGATAAATTATTAAGAAATATTTTATGTAATTAGGAGCTACAAATATTAAACTTTATGCAATAAAAGAAAATGCTAAAACTAAAGACCACACTAATTCATATAGAAAAAATGAAAAGTTAAATATACCACCTGAACATATTATAAGTTTAATAAAAATCATTTATTGTCTTGCCAAAAATAATATTCCATTAAATAAATTTAAGCCATTAGCTTATCTTGGTCATGCTATCGAAGCTTCACATTTGGTTTCTGAGGATTATCTAATTATATATGAAAATAATTCCTGTATACATGAATTATTATCTTCTATATTAGTAACAATTGAAGAAAGTATTTAAAAAGAACTAAGTCTTGCTATAGCAATAGAAATTATAGTTGATGAAAGTACAGATATTTCTACAGAATCTCATATTATTATTTATGTCAAATATCTTATTAATAGTATGATTAAGATATGATTTTTAAACTTGTTGAAAATTGAAAACGGTGATGCAAAATCTATCTATACTACTATAATTACTCCATTCATTACTAGAAGTAAGTATTTAAATTAATATTATAATTATATATATATATATATTAAATTATTTAGTTTTATTTTAAATAGATATACAACAACACAAGTAAAACAATTCAACTCTTTCTGCCGATCCCTCGTACCAAAATTTCACAAAAGAAAAACGGGCTATAGTGCAAAAACTGAAGCAGAAACCATAAAAGTGGAAATAAGAAAAGAGAAAGAGAATCAAAAAATACATATAGTTTAATAACAAGAAAGGATTCCCAGTAGTTTTGATAGAGCTGAGGGGAGCAAAACTAAAGTTTTTACAACTTAACGAACAAAAGTGGGCACTCGCAGTTAACCCAGAACGTAGATCCTGGTGTAAACAAACAAACACGTCACGTAATAGTACAACACAGAGATAAACAACAAAACACGAAAGTCGTAGATAAACCAAACAATAAACGTGTCTCTGGCAAACAAACCACGCGTAGAACAAATGCCAAATTCTAGAAACACAATTTTAAGTGACACAGTACAAGCAATCTACCACAACTGCAAGATGCAGACGATGAGGCTTAGCCAAGTAGCACAAGATAATCAATTATCACTCGGCATAGAGTGGGAAAAAAAGTTTGAAGAATACAAGAACTTCTTTAAGATGCCAAGCGAGCAAATCCAAGAAAGCTTAGAAAAACATAAAGCAAAAACCCTAAGAAAAGATAGGGAAATCGCAGACATCGCTGGCACAGAGCCCGAAGTAATATGCGTAGTCAGGTGTATGTTAGAGCTTTATGACTGGCTTGAACACCAAAGAATTAGAGAGAGTGAAAAGAACGAGGCATCACGCCTTTCCGAGGCAAAAATCTTAAAAGGGTTGTTGGTAGAAAAAGAAAGCGGTCAGACAGACTTCGGAATTACAGAGTTACAAAGCAAAATTCAGAAGACTAAGCCGCCATATCAAAGTTTAGCAGCTGAAGAAAAACCCATAATCATAGAGGACCGTATACTGGCAGATGTAGAAATGAAAGAAGGAGCGGGGTATAAAGAAGCCCTGCAGAATAGCCTAATAGTCAAGGAGGCAAATACACACTCTGTAGCAAGTGTTAGCCCGAACCCCAAAGCAAAACTAGTGAACGAAAAGCTTCACGAATCTAGTGGTAAACTAAAAGAGGAAAATAGCTCAACTGAAGACAGCCCACAAGACAGTTACTGCGAAATAAAACCCAAAGGTACAAAGGCCGAGATAAACGGAAATCTGGGAAAGCCCTTTTTAACAGATAACAAAAGTAAAAAGAAAATGAAGAAGAAAATAGCAATTACAATCTGGGATATCCCTAACGGTGCAAGAGCGAACCAGATAAGAAGATGTCTAAACTATTACGGAAAAGCGGTGGTTAAAAGCTTTATGGCCAATGGCAAATCGAAAGCGGCATTTGTTGAAATAGAAGCCAAAGATGATGTAAAAGCCCTCGCACTAAAAGAGGCCTGGGCAATTCACTTCGAAGAAGGCAAATTGGTTAGAATTACACAAGGAACCTTCGATAAGCACACTCTGATAGAGAGAAGTCAATTTAAATTAATTGCAAAAAAGATCCCAAGGTCAGCAATAGAGTCAGCTCTACTTAGACAGCTTAGAGGTACTAAAGCAAAAGCAGTATATATATCATCGAACCGAAACAAAAACCAACGTGAAGTAGCAACAGTATATTTTGGATCAGAAGCAGACCGAGAAAAAGCTCTTAAAGAAACTGTATATTATTATAATAGCAAGCTAGAGTGGGCAGTACTAGAAGGGGATAAACCAGACCAGAAAAAACTAAAACAAATAGAAAAAAAGCCAAGCAGAAAGCCACTGTCGATCAAAAGAGGGCAGTCACCTGACCAAAAAAGTAGCAAAGAAAATTTAGACTCAGTAAACTACTCAGTTAGGGCTGGAAAAGAGAGTGCAAAAGAGAAAAGAAGCGCTACAGAGCCGTCAAGTAACCCAAAAGCCCAGCCAACTTGAAAGGAACTAAAGTTCCAAGCAGAGCTAATCAAGGAAATACTGCAAAGATTAATCGCAATTGAGGAAAGGCACCAGGAGAGTGCACCCCTGAACTTTTCCTAAAAGGTGCCAAGGGTATCCTAACAGATAAAGAGGTACTACAAGCAAATAGTAGTACAAAGAGAAAGGAAAACACAAACGTTTTTGAAACATTATATATAGGGACGTACAACATTAATAGTATTAAGTCAAGGGTAGCAAAATTGGACTTTTTGATAGATTATATAGTAGAATACAATTTGGACATTGTAGAGTTATGTGAAACAAATTTGGGTGAAAGAGGGGGCAAATATATGTTTAGGAAATTTGAAGGTTTTAAAGCATTCTGATCAGAGATAGAAGCTGATAAGAACAAAGGATCTGGAGTAGGCTTAATTGTAAGAGAAAAATGGGCAGAACACATATCAAGAGTCAAAAGTAGCTGCCCATATATCCTTGAGGTTCTGTTTAAATTTAAACAGATTGACATAGAATGCTTGGTTATATATCAGGCACCAAACAATCCTAATGTAGAAAACAAAGTTCTGGCAACAATTAAAGACAAGATGCAAGAGTATAAGGGAAAGAAGCCAAGATACTACATAGTATTGGGTGATCTAAACCAGGTAGTAAAAAGTGAAAAAGATAGAAAAGGCAAAGGCAAAGTTGGAATCAAAAGTCAGGCGAACCTAATTAGAACTCTTGAAGCATACAACTTCAGAGACATTTACAGAATTCTTAGCCCAGAGGCAGCAGAGTTTTTATGGAGAAGAAATGTCTTTGCTTCACGAATAGACTTCATTTGGTTAAGTGACTCATGGAGCAACAAGGCCTTCCATAGCAGCATATTAGATATGGCATATGTAACTGGCAGTGACCATGACATGGTAGTTGCAAAAATCTCAACAGAAATCATGAAAAGAAGCACAATTACACAGCAGGCAAAGATTCAGAAAAAACAAAAGAGGATTAATTTCGATATTGAGAATACGACAAAAGAAAATTGGCAAGACTTTAGAAAAGCACTTGACAAGGAGATTGGGAGCAAACTAGAAGAAGTAAACACCAATTTAGTAAAGATAGATGTGCTATGGGAGATAGCCGAAAAGGCAATCATCAACACAGCCAATAAGTATCTACCCAAAAAGAAGAAACGGGTAGGGCTAATTAATGGTAAAGAGGAAGAACAAAGTGAGGAA